CCACGTGGTTTGATGATTGACAATACAAGTCTCACCCATGCTAACAAGTTTCGTTACCATAGCATTCATTGTAATGAGTATTCGCAAAACTCATCAAAAATATTTGGTTCGTAAATCACATGATATGTGACGTCACGTCATGTCATGTTGTCTGATGATTGACAGCACAAGTCTCACCAATGCTACCAAGTTTCGTTACCATAGCATGCTTCGTTCCCGAGTTATGGCCAAGGGGTCACCAGATGCGTGTGGGGCCACCAGATGTAGCCGTGCTAACCCTTCTCTGTTTTGCCCATCAAAGCATTGGAATGACGTTTCACGATGAGCGCATGCGCACTAAACTTATGCGTAGAAAGGCTGCGCGTGAACAATGACAATCGGCCTAAAAATTGACTGAGAAATAACCTAAAATAGACCAATTCGTCTAACTCAATGTTTTATCCATTTCAAATCTACTGGGAAAACTTTTCTTTGTGCATTATATTTACATGTCATTGAAGCACTGATATGGATATGATCTATATCATATACATCTAATTGAAAAAAAAACGTTGTCGGGTTCAAAAAAAGGTTATATCATCAAAGCTAAGCATGTTAATCTAGGTCGACCGACTTTGCTCTACTGTGCATTTTTACATGTCTATATGCAAATATAATGCACATTTCGGAGTACCCAATATCCTTTTTGGTCTTAGCTTCGATAATATGACCTTCTCGAACCCGACTACGTCTTTCTCAATTAGGCGTATGTAAATATAATAGACAAAGAAAAGCCGGTATTCCAAGTAGATTTGAATAGGCCCTTTGCAGTTAACGGTCACGTATCTGTACTGGTTTATTTGAAATTGGTGATTCTTTTTACCTACTTGTAAAGCTGAATGAAACGATGTGTAACCAGTGTGTTACGAAATGCAGTTTTATTACGATCTCTCGAAACAGGTTGTAGAAAGTTTGTTTGCTCTCCAGTATATTTCACCCATGGGAATCAAGATGTTCATTCATTTGCTCTCAGTGAATTGATCAGCACGTGATTACTGAGCTGCAAAGGGCCTATTGGGTAGAATTATTGCCTTTAACAGTATGCAAACTGATTACTAACAGTTCAGTGACTTTCGAGTATCCAAATCCACACCCCCTTGGTTGTTTGCTGTTTTTGCTTTGTTTTACTTTATTTATTTATCTATTGTTCATAGATTTTTCGAATTGCCGCTTTTACTGATACGAACTGCTCAAAGAGGCGTTTGCTAGTCCTAATAATATTATTTGAAATAATGAACCCTTCGACAATACTTTCAGTACTGATTCTA